ATCGAACCCGGGCCGCACGCATGCCAGGCGAGCGCGCTACCGCTTGAGCCACATACCCAGCCCAACTGTCATATTCTTAATGATTAAATTCTTAGAAGGCCCATCAGGATTTGTACTTACTTTTTAGAACATTTTTGTTTTGTATCCCTTGTCTTTGTTGGAAAACAAGCCTCACAGAGCAGTCAAACATTCCTATAAAAAGCAAACTTGTCATGCTCCTCTGGCCAAGTCCTTCCTCTCCAGCACCTGCAATCTGTCAGGACAGAGAGCTCAAGTGGGTAGTATTACCATCCCTGCTTCAAAATGAGGAAACCGGAACTGAGGTTGTAGCTCAGTAGTAGAGAGCCTGCCTAGCATGTGTGAGGCACTGGATTTGATTCTACCATATATAAACAAAATAAAGGTCCATCAGCAACTAAAAAAATATTTTTTTAAAAAATGAAGAAACTACCTGGGTGCAATGGCACACACCTATAATTCCAGCAACTTGGGAAATTGAGATGGAGGATCACAAGATCAGTTCAGCCTCAGAAACTTAGCAAAACACTGTTTCAAAAGAAAAAGAAAAAAGATGAAGAACCTGAGACTCAGTGAGATGACATACCCTGCCCAAAGTAACAGCAAATAGTAACAGAGCCTGGATTTGAGTTCTGCTCAGGCAGATTCCCAGACCCCAGACTCTCAGCCACATCCTTCCTGCCACCCCCTAGAGAAGCATACCACACAGTGCACTGTAAGGACAAGATCTTTATTTACCTCCACTTACTGAGTTGGTATCCACCTGAGGAGGGAAGCATCATGTGCCCGCCAATCGCTTGTAAAAGCCTAGGATTCAGTTCTCACGACACTCCTAACCAGGTCCGAGCCAGATGTAGCAAAGAGGAGTCAAGGTGAGGTATATCCATGGGCAGTTATAGGGACAGCTGTTGTTTCTGTTTTGGTTTGTTTTGTTTTGGGGTACTGGGGATTGAATTCAGGGGCACTTGACCACTGAGCCACATCCCCAGCCCTATTTTGTATTTTATTTAGAGACAGAGTCTCACTGAGTTGCTTAGCACCTGCCTTGCCGTTACTGAGGCTGGCTTTGAACTTGAAATTCTCCTGTTTCAGCCTCCTGAGCAGATAGGAGTACAGGTGTGCACCTGGCAGCTGGTGTTTCTGTAGTCAACTGGAAGATTTCTCCCAGACCACAGACAAATTGTAGCACACAGGGTGTGTGGTGCAGGGCAACCCAGGACCCTGGCCTTCAGGACACAGTAACAAGAGTTTAGAACTAGGGAGCAGGTAGAGGTGATGGCTTTTTATCTTGTTTTGGTAATATGGTTGAATCCAGAGTCACTTAACCACTAAGCCACATCTTTTTTTTTTTTTTTTTTTTTTGATACAAGTTGCTTAGGGCCTTACTTGATTGCTAGTCTTAAATTTACAATTCCCCTGCTTCAGCCTCTGGAGTTGCTGTATTACAGGCATGTGCCACCACACCCAGCAGCTTTATATATCTTGTTAAAGTATTTGAACTTTTTTTATCTTCAGGGAAATGAGTATTCACTGAAGAGTTTTATTTATATTTTAGAGAGCCCATTGTGGCTGTGGGGTGGACACTAGGGCAAAGTGGGGACAGAGAAAGTGTTAGAATACTGCAAGGGTGTGTGTGGGGGGAAAGAGGGCAAGATCACTCTGTATGTCCATGAGGGGTCACAGAAGTGCCCCTTTGAAATACGGTGCCTGGGTATGGGTCACGTGTCAAGGAGAACCTGAGATCCCTGACTTGGGTGACCACAGCGTCACTCATGATGAGAGAGTGCTCTTGTGATGGCCAAGTAGAGACATCCCACAGGCACTTGACTAACACTTTCCTTGGTGCTGGGAACTGCTCAGTGTTCCTGTAAACAGCATTTAGCGGTTTTCTATGTAAGTAGCCTAACTAATACATTTCTTTCTCCCAGGCCACAGACATTGTAGAGGGCTGCATACAGTGCATACATGAGTCAGTATCTATTGGTCAGTCTTACCCTATTAACAACTATAACAATTCCTTTTGGGTATAGTGGTACACACCTGTAATCTCAGCTACTTGGGAGGCTAAGGCAGAAGCAGGTCACAAGTTTGAAGCCAGCCTGGGCAATTTAGCAAGACCCTGTCTCATAATTTTTAAAAATGGCTGGGGTGTAGCTCAGTAGTATAATGCCCCTGGGTTCAATCCCCAGCACCAGAGGAAAATATTATAACATTTCCTTCAAGGTCATAATCCAAATGCTTAATTCCTGTTAGAGAAATATTGGTGGAGCCATTGCTTCGAGTTTCAAGAATTGTTCACGTGGGGCTGGGGATGTGGCTCAAGCGGTAGCGCGCTTGCCTGGCATGCGTGCGGCCCTGGTTCGATCCTCAGCACCACATACAAACAAAGATGTTGTGTAAGCCAAAAACTGAAGAATAAATATTGAAATTCTCTCTCTCCTCTTGCTCGCTCTCTCTCTTATAAAAAAAAATTCTCTCTCTGTCTCCTCTCTCACTCTCTTGTTCATGTGTATTATATGCTTTAAGTTATCACATGATAATCCATGCTAGTCCCCTCAAATAATTGGATTCTAAGTAAGTCCCATTCTTTAGGGCCTTCCATGCTGGAAGAGAATAAGAAAGGAAGTGCAAGCCACCTGGTTGAACAGCAAGCCTCAGCGCTGCTGGAGACTCTGCATAGGACTCAGGTGGTTTTACAGGCACATAGAAGAGGATTCAGAAACAAAAGGAAAAGGTAAAACAGCCAAGGAGACCACAATGACCATGCACAATCCAGTTGGGCCAACACTGTTCCACTGTGTATCGGTGGGAATTTCACAGCAGCCACTCCTTAACAGCAGGTCTGGGTGTTACTGGCCTGTGAATCACCCTCACAGCTTAGCAGACAGCAGGTACATCCTGTTAGGCAAAGTAGAAGTGATGGTGAGAGGTTTAGCTGTTTGCTATGTATGGAAACATTTATGGCCACTTCCAACTGGATGGAGAGACCCCTGCGTCCACTTCAGTCTGAGAGTGAGGGTCAAGCTTCTGCTGGTGTCGGAGCAACTGACCATGCCACCAGCCCTCATTTGAGATGTCAGGGTAGACTTCCCAGAGGGACCATTCTACTGGTGCTGCAAGGCAGTCAGGCCACAGAGGGAAACGTGAGGAGGTAAAAACAGAAGTGATAGCGTGTGGAAAGGCTTTGTGGCCTGCAGAGCAAACAGTGGAAGAACAGACGGTGTGCTGTGCTGGAAACTTGTGTTGTTCTAGGACAGAGGGACTGGGGCAGGGGTAGACGAGGGTCCATATCACCTGGGCTACCAAGTTTTACCTTGTTAGAACTGGATCCCAGAGCAATGCTAAGCCCTGATCCTGCCTGTGGGTGAACAGGTCCCTTATGCTGCTGCGTGGATAATGGCAAGCTGGAGATGATCCAGGCCTAGCACGTATTCTGTTAAATGTTAATTCATTTCCTCCCCCTAGCAGCGAGGTGAGCACTATTATAACCTGGTTCTTGGCATAAGAGAGGGAACTACAAGGGCGACGCGAAGGTTTCCATCGGGAACTTCAGCCCCAGCGCTCTGCGGAAGCCATGCGCGCACTGTCCCCGCGCCCGCCAGCGCCCCAGAGCGCAGGACGCGCCGCAGAGGCTGACTAAGAGCCCCGTTCGCGGTTCAAGGCCAGGCTGCGTCGCCCCCTGGTGGCCGCTCGCGCTCCACCGCAGGCCGGCCCCGGGCCACTTTGCCACTTCCGGAGACGGCCCCGGAGGGGGAGGAGTCCGGCGCCGGGGCGGGGCCTCAGGGGCGGGCGCTGGGCGGGCTCCGAAGGTGCGCGTCGGCCTGTGGGAAGATGGCGGCGCCCTGGTGGCGAGCCGCGCTGTGCGGGAGACGGGCCTGGCGAGGCTTCGGCACCTCGGGTAAGGGTCCTGTCCTGGGGTCGGGAGCTCTTGACGACCTGGGGCTCGGCCGGGCCGGAGCCCCCGTGACGCCCCGCTCTCCGCCCGCAGCCGCCCTGAGCCGCCGGACGCCCCCGCTGGGGCCGATGCCCAACGCGGACATCGACGTGAGCAACCTGGAGCGGCTGGAGAAGTACCGGAGCTTCGACCGCTACCGACGCCGGGCGGAGCAGGAGGCGCGGGCCCCGCACTGGTGGCGGACCTACTGGGAGTACTTCGGGGACAAGACAGGTGCGGGCCCTGGACCTCCGGGGAGGAGCCGCCGGCGTGCTCCGGGCGAGCCTGTCCTGGCCTTTCAGCCTCCTGATGGGCACCCCAACAAGGGTCAGAGTTCCAGCTTCTAGAATAGCCACTCCTAAAATCCTTTCCTGATCGTTCCGGGTTGGGACTCCTCTCCGTGCTCCTAAAGTGCTCCACGTAGCTCTGGCCACTGGGTGCTCTTTTCCCGTCTCCGCAGCTAGCAAGCGCCCTGCAGATGATGCCTGACTTGCCCACCTTTGGATCCTTGCACCCGCACGGTTCCTAGCACGAGGTGTGCGGTGCCTTGCTAAATTAAAGCCCCGGGCCCGGTAACAGGAATCCAGCCTTTAAAGAACTCATTCTTACTGAGCACATCTTTTTTTGGAAGCTTTTATAGAGGCAGTTTTTATGACGCTTACAGGCATACTAGATAGCCTGATTTAAACCGCAGCCCAACCTCTTTCCGATGATGTCCCTAAGCTTCGAGTAAAATGAAATAATTGTGGCTTTGTCACCAAATTTCTATGAGGATTAAAGGATACAGAAATTTTTACACTAATACCATTCCCAATGAGGGCTCAATAAATACATGGTTGCCTATCATGTAAATAGGTAAAGGTGATAGATTGAAAGTTCTCCAGGGCTTTACTACTTAAACTGTGTTCTGGGACCAGAACCGCAGGCAAAGTGTGCTGGTATGGTGGTTCAGGCCTGTAAAATACCAGCTACTTGGAAGGTTGAGGTAGGAAGATGGGAAGTTGGAGACCAGCCTCCATAATTTAATGAGACCCTGTCTCAAAATTGAAGGAAAAAGAAATTAAAGGATCAGGATGTGTTAGACTACTTAGGTTCAATACCCAGTCCTCCACCCCCACCCAGAAAAAGAAAGAAATGCAGGGCCTGAATCAAAATCTGAATTTTAACAAAATTCTGAGGCTATTTTTCTCCCCATTAAAGGTGAGAAGTGCTTCTTTGATCCTTCTGACTTCAGCTGTTCATTCCACTAAGGACACAGGTGCATGTCCATAGCCCACTGTGAATCCTAACTGTGATTATGACATCTGCCTCAATTTTCCATGACCCAAGTGATTCAGTGAGACCTAGTTTAGACATCAGAAAACACAACCTCACCTTATATCTTTTTGTTTAGCGGGGCCCTGTTCAGATCTGGGAAGCAGACCGCACAGTGTGTTTTAGTTTTGTGAACCAAAGAGAAGGACAACAGCAGAGGCTGGAACTATAGAGCAATAGAACTAGGTAGGGGCAGCAGCTTAGCCAAGAGATGTAATCCTGCTTCCTCCAACACACTCCTCCCCAGATCCCAAAGACAAAGTTGACATTGGACTGCCTCCACCCAAGGTCTGCCGGACCCAACAGTTACACGAACGGAAGCGGGTCCTAAGGGAGCTTCGGGCCAATGTGGAAGAAGAGCGGGCTGCTCGCCTCCGCACAGGTAAGTCCTAACAGGAAGGGTCCTAGGTGGTCCCTGTCCCCATCTTGCATCCAACTGGCCTCACTCCTTCCCAGCCAGCATCCCCCTGGAGGCTGTGCGAGCTGAGTGGGAGAGGACCTGCGGCCCTTACCACAAGCAGCGCCTGGCAGAGTATTATGGCCTCTACCGAGACCTGTTCCACGGTGCCACTTTCGTGCCCTGGGTTCCCCTGCGTGTGGCCTATGCTGTGGGTGAAGAGGACCTGATGCCTGTGTACCATGGCAATGAAGTGACTCCAACTGAGGTACCGTGCAGCGTGCCCTTCTCCCAGTCCTGTGTGCACACAGACACATCCCATTGCACCATCACAGCTCCCAGGTGTGGGGTTCTGTGGTTCTCTCTCTCTTTTTTATTTTCTGGGAAACACAAAACAGTTACAAAGACAGTAATAAAAAACAGGAAAAAGAAGCTCCATCTTTGCACATTCCTGGGACTAGCTACTGTCTAGAGTTTAGTCCCAGGCCTTGTCTCTTGGCACATGGTCCCTTTTGCATTTAGATCTCATGACAGACAACTCTTCAGGGCTCCTTCTGTAAGCATCTTTGTCTACATGCCTCTGAGCAGCTGTCAAGAGGCCTGATTTAGGCCAGAATGGACACTGCCTTCTTCAAGACCCCCCTCAAGCTACAGCCTTCCAGAAAGAAATTGTTTGTAACAGCTTATCCTTGGTTGGAGTGGCAGCTCTCCTGTTCTCTCCCTGCCAGGCTGCCCAGTCCCCAGAGGTGACCTATGAAGCAGATGAGGGTTCCATGTGGACACTGCTGCTTACCAATCTGGGTAGGTGTTTGCAGTTTACTGAGCCTCCTTCCTCCCCTTTCTTCCTCCCCTGGGTCAGGGCACTGGGCCAGGACCAGATGGAGAGCTCCAGTATCACCTCCTTCCAGGGGAGGAGAATCAGGACCCTGGTTAGTGAGGTGTGTTTCTATGCAGATGGACACCTGCTGGAGCCAGATGCAGAATACGTCCACTGGCTGCTGTGAGTATCTGGTCGGGAGTGGGAGGGGTCAGGGAATTGCAGAGAGGCCCTAGGAGCCTGGAAAGAACAGCCCCTGGATTTCAGAATTGGCTTCACCATAGGTTAACCATAGGATTTTGAATTAACCTCCTACCTCTCACCTGTGCCTCCTGAAAGCACAGGGGCCCTTGAAGATGAGTAAGGAAGGAAACAGCAGTGGCCGTCGGCTGGCTCCCACAGCCTCTTCATCTCAGAACCCACAGCCTTTCCTGTAAAACTGGGATGTTGCCACCATGTTTCTTACCTACTCTGAGGGGCACTGTGACTAAGGGGGAAAGAACTGGGAGAGGCCTCTGGCAGTTGTGGCACCTCCAAACAGTCTTGAGCCGCTGGGCTTTCCTTCCCCAGGCAATTCAGACGGGGGTGCCCTTCATTTTCTTGGTGGGTCTTGGCTCTGAACACTAGGCCAGGGGGAGGTCAGGCAGATGACCCCAGCTTTGAGACTTCTGGGTAATTAAAGCCAGTTAAGTGGGAGGCTGGTTTCATTCAACTGCAGTTACCAGCCTGTGGAGCTGGACCCTCTGGAGAGTTGTACCTGGGCAGGTAAAGTTGCCACTCCAGTGCCAGGCCAGGCCAGCTCTTCCGTGACCAGACCCTCAGGCCTCAGAGAGTCAGCCCAAAGGTGGTGCAGCTTTCCAGCCCGAATGACTAGGGCAGACCCCCTGGCTCCCAGGTCCTGGTAAATGGGCTGCTTGGCCCTGCTGTCATCCTTATGGTCTCTGGAAGCCTTGTCCTCATCCTCTGGGCCCCTCCTGCTCCCTCCACCTATTTGCATTATGTTTGAGGGGGTCACAGAGCTCTGCTAGAGATTGGTCAGGGTCTGTACCCACAGGGAATGACATCAGCCTCTAAGGTTTACATTCTGAAGGTGTTCTTGCCATCTCCTAGTGGCAGTTAATTACTACTTCCCTCCAACCAGAACCAACATCCCAGGCAACAGAGTGACTGAAGGACAGGTGACTTGTCCTTATCTACCCCCCTTCCCTGCCCGAGGCACCGGCTTCCACCGCTTCGCCTTTCTGCTCTTCAAGCAGGACAAGCCAATCGACTTCTCCGAAGACACCCGCCCTTCACCCTGGTAATTTGTACCCCACACACGTCCCAGACCTCAGACCAGCTTCCCCAAGATGGTGGCTCTTGCTTTGGCCTCATTTGACCTACACCTTGAGACTGGTAGAACAGTACACCAGGCCAACCCTAGGAAGCCTGCCAGATTGCCTATGAGGGGGCAGGGCTCTGGTGCCCCCTCCCACTCTCAGATGTTCCCCATCTTACAGCTACCAGCTGGCCCAGAGGACCTTCCACACTTTTGATTTCTACAAGAAACACCAGGAAGCCATGACTCCAGCTGGCTTGGCCTTCTTTCAGTGCCGCTGGGATGACTCAGTCACCCAAACCTTCCACCAGCTTCTGGGTAAGGGGGAGCGGGGTGGGCCTGAGCACATGAACCTTTCCTGTGTGCCTTGGTTGGAGATGGCTCCTGGCAGGCATGCTGCCCTTCAGGTGGGCAGTCCCTGGCAGGAGTCCACCCCTGGGTCCTTCACTTTTCTTGCAGACATGCGGGAGCCCGTGTTTGAGTTTGTGCGGCCGCCCCCTTACCACCCCAAGCAGAAACGCTTCCCGCACAGACAGCCCCTGCGCTACCTGGACCGGTATAGGGACAGTCATGAGCCTACCTATGGCATCTACTGAGGGGTCATAGTGTACCCACTTTGGAGGGTCTGCTGGACTGGCAGGAACAGGAAAGACAGCTCCTGTGGTCTGAGCTCTGGGGTTCTGGTCCCTGCCTGAGGCAGCTCCTCTATAGGCCTGTCCCATCAGGCCCAAGGCTGGGAGCAAAGGAGGTTGTCAGGTGGGAATGGAAGGGTGTGAATAAAGATGACTTCTGCTCTTGCTGGTCTGGGTCTGTATTCTAGGAGAAGCCAGAGCCCCCTGGTGGAGCTGTACTGCTTCATGGGTGGAAGAAGGTTTCTTCTCACCTCCACCTTCAGATAGGGTCAGAACACTATGATCCAGTGGCTTCAGAAGACACAGAAGAAGATATGGGCAGTGGGCCTTGGTTAGTCCCATAAGCTCTTCCCCACCACCCCCACTTTTTTTTTTCCCCAGTGCTGGGGATTGAACCTAGGGCTTTGTGCATGCAAGGCAAGCTCTCTACTAATTGCGTTATATATCCCCAGCCCCCCCCCCCTTTTTTTTTTTTTTTAATTCTTTCTGGTTATGGAGTATGACTTCCCCTTCTTATGGTTATACATGATATCTAGTTACACTGGTCATGTATTCATATACCCATAAGCTCTTGAGCTACGCCAGCCCTGAGCATTGCTGCCTCTGCATGGTGGCAAACTCCTGCCCCCATACCTGCGATGTAATACCTGACCAGGCAAGGCAGCAACTCATTGCAGAGACCTCTGACCCAATCTCCACTCCAGACCAAGACCCTAGATGGCTAGGTGTTTCCCCCTCCCTAAAGGTCATCTTGCAGAAGGTCGGGGGGGGGGTCTATCACCTTTTCCAGAAAGATAATGGTATCACTGTAGAGGGCATGGTGCTGCATCTCAGGCATGTCAGGCTTGCTTGGTAAAAGGAAGTGTGGCGGCCCCCTTACCACCCTATTGACTTGACCACACAATTGCCCAGGGTGGCCATGGGCAAGTACTCAGGCCCCTTCTACTCTGCTCAGCCACAGGGGAAATGTTTGGGTTACCCAATAAAAATGGGGTACAGGGGCTGGGGTTGTGGCTCAGTGGTAGAGTGCTTGCCTAGCATGTGTGAGGCACTGGGTTCGATTCTCAGCATCACAAAAAATAAGTTAAAGGTCCATTGACAACTAAAAGGGGGGGGGCATCCAGAACAGCTTGAAGTTCCAGACCAGGAACTCGCCCTAACAGGAGGTCATATGAAGCCCGGCAGCTAGAGGATGACGGTGTCCTCTAAGGGGCCCTTGGAGAAGAAAAAAAAAACTTTACTGGTTTCTTAGTTATCAGAAATTTCCATCTAACTGTTTACTTAAAAAAATTACTCATAACCCAGAGAAGGGAGACACCCAATCTGGCAAGTGCCTGGGAACACAGTTCCAGGAAAAAGTGCAACAGCGCCTCTACTAAGGAGGGAGCATTTATTGAGCTCTAGCTGTGCCCTGGGGTTCTTATCAGGTCCCACATGTCTAATTTATTTAACTGCCCAAGCTTGCCGGGGGTGAAGGAGGGTCTACTCGGATGAGGTTCCTTGATGGTCCCTGGCCCAGAACCTCCAGCCCCGGCTACGCCTAGGGAAGTGAGAGGCTGTCGGTCGGAGAAGGACCACGCAAGGGTCTGACCCGCGGTGCCCAGCACCTGCCCGAGCGGGTGCGTTGTCTTCCTGGGCAGGGTGCTGGCTCCTCCCGCGGTAGCCACGCCCGCAGCAGTCTCGGTCCCTTTAAGAGACGCCGGCCGGCCTTCCTGCTGCCTCCGCCATGGCCGCGCTGCAGCTGGAGGACAAGCTGACCTGCGCCATCTGCCTGGGGCTCTACCGGGACCCGGCGACTCTGCCCTGCGGCCACAACTTCTGTAGGGCCTGCATCCAGGACTGTTGGCGCCGCTGTCAGAAAGAGTGTCCCGAGTGCCGCCAGCCCTTCCCCGATGGCGCGGAGCTGTGCCGCAACGTGGCGCTCAGCGGCCTCCTGGAGTTGCTGCGCCCCG